GATAAACTAATATGTTGCTTAAAAAAAAAAAAAAATTCTACTTGTCACTTCTCAGTTGTAGTTTTGCACTTTGTAACTTGCTTTACTTTGCTCATGTAACTTCTCCAACCAGAATGTCTTTTGCATTCTATCAAAATCCTGTTTAAGCATTCAAGTCTCAACTTAAATCCTTCCTCTTTTTTCTCCTAGTGTCCCTGGCTAAACTTCTCTCGCCTTTCCCTGAACCCTCATGCCCTTACTCTCTGTACCTCCCAGAATGACTTTATTTTATATTGCCTTTTATTATACAATTTATCCCCAAATCTGCCAGAATCTTTCACATCACAGGTGCTCAGTTCTTATGTGTTGATGTATCAGTAAACACTATCATAGCTAGTTAATTAAAATAACTGGACTTGATGGGTTACAATTATAAAAGAGCTGGTTTTTTTGTTTGTTTGTTTTTTGTTTTTTTCCCAGGCAACTACCTCTAAACCCTTTGTGGAATCATTCTTCTCTGCCTTGGATTAAATATGGGGGAGAACACAGAGTTTTCACTCTCAGACACTAACAAATGGTCTCCATTTTTAGGCATAAAAAGCCCGGACCCATTATTTCCGACTGCAGCAGCTAGGCACAACAGACCACACGGCAACATGGGCAGATCTTCACAGCAATGCTCCATGAAAAACAAGAAATAGAACAAGCTAATGCAGAGCTATTTACATTCATGGAAAATACACACACACGAAAACAATAATACAAAGTTTTCCAGAACACACTGGAACAAGAAATACATATGGAACCCATTAAAATGGTTTTCCATGGGGAAGAATTGGAGTAGGGAGTGGGAACAGAAATGCATAAATATACATAACAAAAAAAGCTTTTTCGCAAAATTCATACTAGTGTGCCATGAACTGAAATGTGTAACTGACTCAGTCCTCTCTCCTGCCCATTCACTCCCTAAGAAACGTCTGCTCCAATCTAGTATTGGAGGACCTTCCAAAGAGAAACTGTGGGTGGGTGAGGCGGATGCAGTCAGCTCCTGTAGTATTTCCCTCTGGCTGATCTTCTCCTCTGCTACTCACAGGGATGCTTCTGGCTCCTCCAGGGCTCGAACAGGGAAGGGAGTTAGGGGCAGAAAATATCTTATTCAGTTGGGTATATAGCAATGGTATCATCTAGCAATGGTGCCCTGTATGTAGCCAGTGTCCACATGCTGACTGGCACCTTCTATTAAGAGAAGCTCTGTGGCCACTGGGAAACCTCTGCTCCCTTCAGGTCCCTCAATGTGGATAATTCCTCCTCCGACTGGCCACCCACTGCCTCCCTATCTTCTACCCCTTTACTGAAACCACATCACCCCTACAGGGCATCCTCTTTGGCATCTTTTCAAGATGATCCACATCTTGTTGCCTTTCATGAGGTCCAAATCTGGCTCACAAGAAGCAACCACGATCCCTGACATCCCCTTCACCCCCACCCCACGTCATGAAAATCAGGCCATTCCTGGCTGTGCTCTTGGTCAGCTGTGTCACCAAATGTCATTCCAGGCAGTCTTTTGCCTATCCATATTTTAAGGCTAAAATGCTAGTGGCCATGCTCCCCAAGCCCATAGCAAACCCTCAAGATCACTAGCTGTCCCTTCCCTTGCCTTGAGTTGGGGCACAGTAGGGGGAATGAATGCCCTAGCATTCTCATCTCTCCTGAAGGAATTGTCTCTCTGAAATCTCTCCACTGGCCTTTAAGCCTCTCCTCACGCTCATACTAGGAGAGTGAAGAAATTAGAATCACACCATCCCCCTGCAAGGCCCACACACATGGTCTGAAATTTCTCTTTAAGTACGTGTAGAAAATTAATCTTTTTTTTTCTTCTCAGACTTAAGGTCTTCGCAGAAACTGAGACAAAAGAAAGAGTCCCATTTGAGTACCCTGTTACACACGCAAGTCTCTGCATCTCTATCAAAACAGAAAATAAGCATCTTTTCTAGCAGATCATTTTTTCAAAAAGCCAGATTGACTGATTTAAGGGGAGCATGAATGAAAAGCAACCACATTTTAAAAAATGAATTCTGAATAAAATGTTATACTCTTCCAAGTCAAATGAGCTATAACCTATTGAAAAACTCTGAAAAGAATTGAAAATATCTTATTTGCTATACTTAGAAAACAACTATAATAAAATTTAGGTTGTCATGAAACAAACCAACAAGTGTGATTCTAAATCTTACATTATTAAAAATTACTCTAAATTTTTATGTAAGTTGATATATCAAAATAATTGTGGCAATTTTACAGAAATATGGAAACAATAGGATATAATAAAGGGGCAATAAATGTATAATTGAATCTCTACTATAATTGCAACTGTGAGACATATTAATATATATGCATATGAATAAAGCGTTTGAAATAATGGGTAAGAGTGAACATTTTTATGATGATGAGATTTGGGGTGTGATTTTTCCTTTTAAAATTTGTAGTTCCTGTGTTGCTTTTCCCAGTTAAAAATAAATAGGTGAGAAGGATTGAATGGGGCAATGCTATGCTGGCTTATGAGAGAACCATATAGAATATCCAGTAGACAAGATAAGTGAGGCATGCCTGTGCCCCATGACACAAGGCTCTCTGACACTGGTCACTCCCGATGCCTTGCTGATGGTACCCACTACAGCTGGCTGCATCCTGAGGGAAGAATTCACCTTGGAAGAGGCATCCCTTGACTGAGACTGCTGGAGATGGGGACGGGGCAGCTAGAGTAGAGCTCGAGGTCTTCTCAGGCAATAGGAAAGCAAAATGAGTTTGGAGCGACAGATCCACAGGAGTGTTAGCAGGAGACAAGGGTGTGAGAAAAAGCAGGCCAGCGTAGAGGCAGGCTTAAATGGCAGGCTTGGTATTCTGCCATCAAGGCCATCCAGCAGAGAGAAGCAATAATCCCAGATCTGAGTTAGAAGAATTGCAATGGGAAGGGTGTAGAGGAAGCAAACTTAATCTAGGAGTTATCTCAATTTATCCAGAAAACAACATTTTTTCTCATAGATTTTCTGACTTAAAATATTCTTTATAGAAACTGCCTCTGAAGATACATCTCACAGATTTAAATATGATTTTTGAAAGTGTAAAATGAAAGATGAAAGTTTGCCTATGCCCTAGCACCTATTGCCCAATAAATAAAAGAGCAAACACATTTATAAATTTTGACCCAGTTGCTTTTGATCGAACAAGTTTTTAAGAGAGCCAGTCTAAGTTGGCTATAGAATAATATGATAATAATAACAGTGTTTCATAAGCGCTTGCTGTGAGCCAGGTACCATAAGTCTTTCCTCATTCAATACTCACAACAACCCTGTGATAGAGATTCAGTTGTTATCCCCATTTCATAAATAAGGAAAGTGAGTGTAGGAAGTCACTGTGCCACATTATATAACATTCCTTGGATTGAAATGCTGTGCCTTCTATTTCAAAACCATGCTCTAGCCACCACACTTCATTAGTAAGTAAAGAAAAGCAGCTGCTCTTGGCAGAGAGCATAGCAGGGTTAGAGGTAATAACACTGCTCCTAGGGACGGTGGTCTGACCAGACAAAAAGCGCTTCACTTCTTTACGCCTCAATTTTCTTAGCAATCAATGGACATAGTAATTGCCTCTTTGTCGGGCAAAACGATGGGGGATAATATCGGTTTTCCCTCCTGATCTGATTGCATAGGAGGCAGCTAAACCATGGCAGCCCATAGGTGTGGATGGAAATCGGGGGTCACTTACAAAGTGTGGTTTGTGTTGGTGACCCAAGCTCAGCTACCTCAACTATATAATGGGCATAATAATAATAGCATCTACCTCCTAGGCTGGGAGTGAGGCTCCAATGCATTAATATATTTAAAACATTTAATATTGTGCTTGACAAATAACATTCATTAAATACTAGCACTGTTGGTTTTAAAGGTAGAAACTTGGCTACTAGGGATCACTGTGGACATAGACATGTGTAACCTCCAAGCAGAGATAGGAGAGAAGCCCACACTCACCTTAGCCTCCTCTCCATAAGCTAAGATTAGTTTTGCAGATTTGTTAGCTATAATCTTGGCCAATGAAAGCAGAACTCAGAGGAGATATGATAGCGATGGAGAAATAGGTGTCAAGAAATAATAATTGCTCCTAATTTTTATCATTTCTATGGTCAAGTACTACATTAAGAGTATGCCAGCTTGGTCTTATCTAATCCTCACAATTCTGTGGGTAAGCATTAATTGTATCCCTCATCTGGGGCTCTACTTCCATCTCTGTAAAGTGACAACAATGAGGGATGAGGATTTGTTCCTGGGCAATCTGATCCCAGAGCACACACTCCTAAGCTCTGCCCTTACTGCGTGCATCACCAGGGTCTGTTACCCAGCACAGATGTCAAGGCGGGTTATCAATAAGGTGTGGGGTTGGGAGGGCCAGAGGCTGAGATACACGAAAATTACATCACAATCTATACAAGGGTGTGTAGAAATACATTAAGCCCCTAATACTTTGATTTGCCTTGTTTAAAATTATATTGGAAGCCTCAGTCCACAAGTTTCAATGGTACTTCAAGAGAAGCTCTTGAGTAAAGGCTGTTGGCACAAGCGCTTTTTAAAATACAAAACAAGGCATCTTTTACCCTCAGCTTAGAAAGGACAGAGGTAAGAATATTTACTAGCTTTGTACAGTTTAGGCTAAATCTATAGTTTTTTGTTTTTTTTTTTTTTTTCAGACAGAGTCCTGCTCTGTTGCCCAGGCTGGCATGATCTCGGCAGCCCACTATATCCTCTGCCTCCAGGGTTAAAGAGATTTTCCTGCCTCAGCCTCCCAAGTAGTTGGGACTACAGGCGTACACCGCCACACCTGGCTGATTTTTGTATTTTTAGTAGAGACAGGGTTTTGTTGTGTTGACCAGGCTGGTCTCGAACTTCCGACCTCAGGTGATGCACCCGCCTTGGCCTCCCAAAGTGCTGGGATTACAGGCATGAGCCACCGTTTCCTATTCTTTTTTCTTTTTAATGGAACGCTTCACAGATTTGCATGTCATCCTTGAGCGGCAGCTACACTAATCTCTGTATCGGTCCAATGTTAGTATATGTGCTTCCAAAGCGAGCATTATCTGTACTTATTCTTTATATTTATTTCTGTCTTAGAAAGAATTGAATAGCTAAGACCCCTTTCTAAAAAAAGATTATGAAATTCCTATAGTAGAGGTTTTATTCATAATTATCTTCCATATAAGATAACTGTAACCTTGCAACGCGATTTTTATTATAGAAATTTACACATGTTGGAATGTTGTGAAGAACTGTGTTGGTCTCCTCAAAATTGTAAAGTATGCCACAGAACGTTGGATTTGCTCATCAACTCTATGATAACTAATGTGCTAACTATATAGATTATTATAATCAACACAATATATCAAATCTGTGAACTCTCTTCTTACATTAAGAAAACAGCTGAAATCCTTTCCTCCTTGCAGAATTTTTAAAAAATAGAATACATAAATAATTAAAACTCCTATCTGAAAACACTGCAACATTCCCTCTGTTTCTTGCACAAGCCTAAAGCTCATCTCTAATATGGAATAAAGTGCCTGTCCTGTTGATTTCACAGAGATGTCAGGAGCAAAAGAGGTCATGGAACAGACTGGCGTTTTGTAAACAGCATAGGGATAAACAACCCAAAGGGGATATGATTGGCTGTAGAAGAGAGGCAGTATGTTGTGTGCGAGATTAATATTTCCTGTTGTTCTGATACTTGGTTGTGAACCAAGAAATCCTGTGTAAGTCACAGCACATTCCTATATCATAACTGAGCAATGTGGAAAGAATACTGGGCAGTTAGTCAAATAGCCTGTTTCTATGTTTCTAGTCCCAGAAAGGACTGGATTTATCTCCATACTCCTTCCAACGACTAAAATCTTGATTTAGCCCAACTCTGAGAACGAGAAGGAACCTAAAAGGTTATGTAGTGTCTGAATCTGGAGACTCAGTCTCCAACCATGGAACCCTGTGCAATTCCCTTTACCCTCCTTGTGAAGGGGCATTTATTAGGTGCTCAATCATATAGGCTGACTAACTGATGCCCTAGACCTCCCATTCCTTATCCGTAAAAGTAAAAAGGGGGCCAGGCATGGTGGCTCATTCCTGTAATTGCAGCATTTGGGGACGCTAAAGTGGGAGGATTGCTTAAGGCCAGGAGTTCAAGATCAGTCTGGACAACATAGCTAGACCTCATCTCCATAACAAAATAAATTAAATAGTTCAAAAATAAGAATGGGTGAGATGATCTCTGAAGTAATTTGTAAGTTTAAATGTTCAGGATTTGAGCGCATTCAAAAATGCTATCAAAGTGGAAATGGAAGTCTAAGGAAATTGGTTATTTGTGAGACTGTAGGTAGGTCATTTGGAGGGAAAACCCAGGCCATCCTAATCCCAGATAGCCTTAGAATTTCATTCTCTACTGCTTTGCCCTCATCCATCCCTTCCTCCCTCTTTCTGACTCTTCTTCTTAATTCTAAGTCTGCTTAGAAATTTCTCCTCTGAGATATGAACAGAAAATTCTCAAAAGAAGACATTTATGCAGCCAACAGACACGTGAAAAAATACTCATCATCACTAGCCATCAGAGAAATGCAAATCAAAACCATAATGAGATACCATCTCACACCAGTTAGAATGGTGATCATTAAAAAGTCAGGAAACAACAGGTCCTGGAGAGGATGTGGAGAAATAGGAACACTTTTACACTGTTAGTGGGACTGTAAACTAGTTCAACCATTGTGGAAGAAAGTGTGGCGATTCCTCAAGGATCTAGAACTAGAAATACCATTTGACCCAGCCATCCCATTACTGGGTATATACCCAAAGGATTATAAATCATGCTGCTATAAAGAAACATGCACACATATGTTTACTGCAGCACTATCCACAATAGCAAAGACTTGGAACCAACCCAAATGTCCATCAATGACAGACTGGATTAAGAAAATGTGGCACATATACACCATGGAATACTATGCAGCCATAAAAAGGATGAGTTCATGTCCTTTATAGGGACATGGATGCAGCTGGAAACCACCATTCTCAGCAAACTATTGAAAGAACAGAAAACCAAACACCACATGTTCTCACTCATAGGTGGGAATTGAACAATGAGAATACTTGGACACAGGAAGGGGAACATCACACACCGGGGCCTGTTGTGGGGTGGGGGGAGTGGGGAGGGATAGCATTAGGAGATATATCTAATGTAAATGACGAGTTAATGGGTGCAGCACACCAACATGGCACATGTATACATATGTAACAAACCTGCACGTTGTGCACATGTACCCTAGAACTTAAAGTATAATAAAAAAGTAAAAAAAAGAAAAAAGAAAATTCTCCTTTGCATCAAATGTGGATTATTTGTAAATCCACTAGGGAATTGACAGTGGTTGGTGAAATGCTTTTAAAAACTGAAATTATTGGCAGGGTGCAGTAGCTCACACCTGTAACCCCAGCACTTTAAGCGGCCAAGGTGGGCAGATCACCTGAGGTCAGGAGTTGGAGGCAGTCTAGCCAACATGGTGAAACCTCGTCTGTACTAAAAATACAAAAATTAGCCGGGCATGGTGACACACATCCATAATCCCAGCTACTCAGGAGGCTGAGACAGAAGAATCACTTGAACCCGGGAGGCAGAGGCTGCAGTGAGCTGAGATCGCACTACCACACTCCAGCCTGAGAGACAAAGTGAGACTCAGTCTCAAAAAAAAAAAAAAAACTGAAATTATTTTTAAACCTAAATAAATATATATCACCAATAAGCTTGGAGCACGTTATAGGTTTTTTTGAACAGTGGATACTCTCAGCACATAGCTGTAGGTAGAGGTGACTAGGGAAAATAATCATATCTCACTTTTCAGAGAGGAAAAACCATGGCCCATGGCCCAGTGGTGTCTGCTTCACACCAAGCTGAATTCCCTTACAATGAACATGTGGAGCAAGCAAAGCTGAAAACCAACCCAGGAGAATGTGTGTCTTTGAACGAAATCATCTCCAAATGCCCTGGGAAGTGCTTGCAGGCTTTGTTTGTGCTGCCCCAGAAGGGAGACCTTTCACAAAGGAACTGTTTTTCAAAGAACAACAAGGCCTGCTATTTTAAACTTGGGGGTGGGAGATTGTATCTGGACCGTTTACACAAGTGAGTGCTGGCTGACTGACATCTAACCCCAGTGTTTGCTGGCTCCAGCTTTCCAAGTAAAGCAAAGAGAGGGACTTGCTTCTCATACGTCTTGAAGCCACAGGAGATGAGTTGTCCAGCAATATTTGAATTTTACCACATGGGCAGAAAACCCTGCTTAGAAATCCTAAACAAGGACAGGCTGGTGATGTTTATCAACCAAGTGACCTTGGGAATTAAAGGGATGTCAGAAAACTATGCAGGACACTTCCCGAAGCTTCAGCATAGTCAGCAAACACAGGACTTAGTGCATGCTAACCCAGTGCTCTGTGTGCATGTGCATGCGTGTGTGTGCATATGCGTGTGTGTGTGTGTATCCCTATTATTGCTACAGGACAGTGTTGCATGATTCTAAGAGTCAGACTACCTGGGCTCAAAACCCTGCTCTGCATTAGCTGGCCTCATAAGCTCTCCAAGCTGCAGCATCCTCATCTGTACAGCAGGGACAGCAACACTGGTACCTGCACACTGGTACCATCCCTGGTGGGATGGGCTGACACAGAGTGCCACGTGGGCCATCGCTGCTGCTAGGACTGTCTACCCCCAGAGGTACAATGAACCCCCCACCAAACACGAAGGTGCCTCTGACCCTTCCAAGTCCAATAAACTGCTGAGTGTTAGGCTTAAAAGACTAAAAACAACAACAAATTGTCCATCAGAACGCTTCCAGTGCTTTCTACAATAACATGAGTTCAGAAATTCAGAAAGAGAAGCTGCCAGCTGTGGTCAGTGAGACAGGACAGGAAAAAGTGAGCCCTTACGGAGGGATAGTTCCCCCAAAAGGACTATTCTTTTAAAAACACAACCCTAAATCTTTCCAGGAAACCAAAAACACAGCCAAGCCTGCTCAGTAGGGGGGAAGAATCACATTTCCCCTTTCCTGACCAGAAGTTTAAAACTAACTAGAAACACTGCAGTGACTGCCAGTAGCCAGTTGGCACTTAAAAAAAATTATAATTTTCCATGTTTAGAGTCTGAAAAATAGGGGATCGAAACAGTACAGCATTTAAAGAGGAGACAAAAGAGAAAGTTACCAGCTCCCTCTTGGGTCTTTCAAAGACCGCAGTGTCATCCCTGTAAAAGAGAGAGCAAGGTACTCACCTTTCTGTAAGAATGAACGACTCATCACCTTAAGCACTGAATTCTGAGAAAGCCTAGGTTCCTGAGCTCCCAGCCCAGGTTTCCTTACCATGCAGCCAAATGGCTTCGCAGAGTTCAGTTCTGCTGGGTGGGGGAAGGGAAAAAGGAGCAACAAAGTTCCTGCATGTCTTACCACCACTGTTTTAAAAAGAAATAAAGAAGAGTCACTAACCTTGCCTCCTGTCTGGGAAGCGAACCGGGCCTGGCTGAGGCTGTCTCCCATAGCAAAGCGCCCCAAAGTTAAGGAGCTGGGCCACCACGGAAAGGTTTGCAAGCCAGCTCCTCTGGGCACATGGCATGATTCAGTTGTTGGGGAGAAGAAAAGTCAGAAAAGTTTTAGCCCTCAGCTCCAGAAATCAAGTGATCGCCTGTGGCCCAGCAGGAAGATGCAGGCGTGCATGGTCCGGGCGCGAGAAGGCAGCGACTGCAAAGCTGCCCGCGATCTCCCTGTGCTTTTTTAACCAGAAAGGGGCTAGACACCTTTTTCCCCTCCCTCCTCCTGAAAGGGGAGTGATTCAGCTGACAGTGTCCGCTTTCGGTGGAGTGTGGAATGGTCCGGAGCGGGAGGGCGCAGTCCACCCGGGTCCCCACCCCTCCGCCTCCTGCATGCCCCTCGGCCTCGCAGCCCGCTTGGTGCATCTTCCTCCGGGACTCCCACCCCCGCGCTCCTCCGGCCCCGCCCCGAGCGCCGGGCCCAGCTGGCCGAGCCGGCCAAATAGGGGAGACCCGGGAGAACCGCCCTGGGCC